ATTATCCGCTTTGATGCACTGAAAAAGATTGGTAAAATAACATATTGATTGGCAAGTGGAACAATTACGTCTCAAGAATAGAGAAGCGAAAATTAGTTCTAAGCAAGCAGCTACCCCTTCGCATGCTCAAAAAAGGATGCATATTTGCACACATTACAGATTTGTTTGGAAAAAATATACAAAAAAATTAAAGATTAAAAAAAAGAAAAAAATTAAACAAAAACAATAAAGTAAATGAACAGGAGAATGTTGTGTTCTGCAGACAATTATCTAAAGAACTTTCTACTACTGCACGTACACAGTGGAAAATCATGAAATGCAGATAGTTTCGATTTCTAATACCTTTTGTCACCCATATGTCGAATTGCAGATGTCGGTGGGCCTATAAATGTAAGGCCCTTGTCTTCACAATGTTGAGCAAAATCAGCACTTTCAGATAAAAACCCATAGCCAGGATGGATAGCCTATAAACCAAAACAATATACTCACTCTAAAAACCATGCCTTATGTAACCAGAACAAGGATATGACCATCAAATTGAGAAATCTGAGTTAAGTAAATGGTCAGCATCAATAATCAATGAAGAACCCTGGGATGGTGTTGATGTAACAAAAATAGTGTCAACTGAGTAATAAACATAAGACAAAACATGTGGATAATCTTGTGCTTTTTTAGTTTAGGATTTTATCTACTTTTTTGTTTTGTACTCCTTTAGGTATGTCTTAAGATTTCGTTTAGGGTAAAATATTTTTTTCTTTTATGAGAGTTGTCGTACGTTGTATTATTTTGTATAATTGACATATGTGTAAAATACCATAAACTTCAATATACAATATCACTATAAGGAAACATTCGTTGCTTTCAATAAAATGACAGCTCTAGGTAACATTCATTGCTGACATTGTATACAGCCTTGCATCAGAAGTAGGCATGAAATCTTTTGTTATTAAGTTACCAATTTCAAATCCTCCACATTTTACGGTGTAGGAAACACTACATGCCATCCAAGCAGAGAAGATTTTGCCTATCAGTAGCCAAAAATTAACTACATTGAGAAAAAAAATTAAACTACCCACCTATATAATCCCTCAATCAATCACAGAAAATCGATAGAACGATGGACCAAACATCACTAGGATCCCTCACAACCTCTCTAAGGGTTCTACTATTCATTTCTCCCCATAAGATCCACAGCGTAACACAAATCTGCTTGCCAAAAAAATCTCCCCTTCTCACGAAAAGGGGGTGTTCAATAGTGTACTCTCTCCTACAACATCACAACGGAATCCTATCACATCCCGAAAGAAAGGATGGCAACGAGACATCATTGGCCTAGAAAATTTCCACAAAAGGGAGCTTGAAAGAAGATAGGTGTGCCAAACAAAAACAGGGTGCAGTAGGCTCCACACTTCTAGTCACCAAGTCCTCGCCTTCTGGCAGGAGGATGATCCCACGCAGAGTTTTTCCCAATGTATATTTACCTGGCAATTCAGTATGGCCTTCCATGCAATGAATATCTAATCACCAAAAATAATCATGACTGCATTTCTACTCCCACCCCGGATCAGAGAACCTTCTCCGATAAGTGAATTATCCGGTTACAAAGAACATCATTCTCTGTGTAACAGCTATATCAGTAGCTTCTAATAAAACACATTCTCCACATTGGGTTCGAGTACGACTTAACATCAAAATAGCATGTTAAATTCAAGTATAACTCAACAGCTGCAAGCATTTAAACAAAATTCAGTACATAAAAAAACAGAAAATAAACTAGAAAAACATTGCAGCTAGCTAAGAATTTGAGCATTTCCGATGTTTCCATCAATGAATAAAAAAAAACGAACATAGCTCCATTCTCACCTGTGCACCAGTCCTCGACGCAGCCTCAATAATCGACGCAGCATTCAGATAACTCAACCGCGCCGGCGATGGGCCAATATGCACAGCCTCATCAGCCAACTTGACATGAAGCGAATTCCGATCAGCGTCACTAAACACAGCCACAGTTTGAATCCCCAACCTCCTAGCAGTCCTAGCGATCCGACATGCAATCTCACCTCGATTCGCGATCAAAATCTTCTCGATACGCCGAGCAGGCTCAGTGTTGGAGTTGGACTGCGAGAAGAGTCTCACACGGAGAAGGAAAGGTTTGTTGGTGAGCTTCCGACGGAAAACAATGGACGCCATCGACGCTCCACGGCCTGAAACTGCGCGAACCACAGAGAATTGAACGATGGAAATGGGAATTTACGTATGAAGATTGAGAACCAACGACATTGCATTCGCACAAAATCGTCGATTATTATTCCGGAGATTTACAGTTCCGTAGCAAAGCAAATTAGTTCGATCTTATCCCGATGAAGGCAGCTGTCTTTGCCAAAAGTACTTTAATTATGAAAAATAAATTAATATAAATATAACTCGAAAATAAAGGTATGTGTATATTTATATTTATATTTTCTAAAAATAAGGAAATAATATATTTTATATTTATTATTATTATAATTAATTAAATAATAAGGAAGAATGAGGATTTTCCAGTAATTGTAGAGGGCGAATTAAATATGAGATATATGACGTGGCAGATAATGATTTGTTGACTTGTGGGACCAGGAGATGGACGTGGAGTCTTTGTGCAGGGGATATGGACGAAAGTGACGTGGCAGTGAGTGAGCTGTCGGATTATTCTTACCGGATGAGATTTGGAAGCCCACGCGCCACGCCATTCCATTACCCATTACGCCTTACCTTCTGAATTATTTTTAAATTATATTTTTATAAATGTTAAGAAGTATTTTTCTCCATAATAAATGTGTTTATTTACCTAATTTCTTTTCCTAAAATTTTCATTTTAATTTTAAAAATTATATATATAAACACTCCTAATCCACTCATTAATCCAAACAAATAATAATAATAATAATAATAATATTTTAAAATTAATTAATTAACTGAACTAATTAAGATGTATATCTTCGACCAAAATGTTAGAAGGTAAAATCTCCACCTCACGTATCAGTATTTTGCCAAATATTTGTTGTTTTGTCTTGTTTTTTCTCCCATGAAACGACTCTAATTTAATTTAAATGTCGTAGATAAATAGGTCGATTTGATCATATTTGAGAAGGCTTCTGAGTTTGGTGTCCTCTGACAAAGGGAGGGCCTAAGCATTAAAACTCTATGCTTCACGAGTGTTATTTTCAAGCCATTGAAACAAAACAAACTTTTGTATTATTGTTGGATGATGAAAGTCCCACATCGGCTATTTTAGGGAATGATTATGGGTTTATAAACAAAGAACATTCTCTCCATTGGAATGGGGCGTTTTGGGGAAGCCCAAAGCAAAGCCACAAGAGTTCATGCTCAAAGTGGACAATATCATACCATTGTCGAGAGTCATGTTCATCTACCAATTACGACTCGAACACTTCCCTTTAGGACCAAGCTATTCCCATTCATTTGGCGAGCTTCTTCTTTTTGACTTGTCTCGTGGACGTATCAATTTTATATGATATATATAAAATAATAATAATAATAATAAAAGATGGCGCATGTGTATTGTGTGCACACGTGGCGAGTGTGAAGGGGAGAGGAACGATTAGTGGGGGTGACGAATGAGGACCGCCCACGCCCGCCGTCTCGGACTCTCCGCCAGCTATTATATTATTATACCGTTATATTATAAATTTGGTATCATCTATTATTTTAAAATTTTAAATTTCAACTTTATAATTTAAAAATAAATAAACCACACAATATTTTTGTCATACTTAATATCAATTAACAATATGATTTGGTTTTTTATATTTTAAGTATGATAAATATAACTAAAAATATTTATAGTTTAATGATTAATCTTATATTATAAAAATATCATTAGTCCACCTTTGTTTGAACAATTAACTGAAATAATGAAAATAGGACATTATTGATAAATGATGATGGAGTTAATAATTATATGGTTATATTTGGTAATATAAGATACATATTATTATTCTATTATGCAAAGAGCATATTAAATAGTTTACTTATTTTTTATAGGCTTAAAGGATCTCATAAATAATATTAAACTTACCAAATATTTTTTATTTTTATTTTTTATGAACAAAACTCGATAATATGGTTCGAATTATTTTTATTTGGATTAATATTTTGGTATCAATATTGACATTTTAATCTACCCAAAAGGAGTTTAGTTTATTTATTTTCAATTTAATAATGGGTTTAAAAATAAAATTTTCAACCTTAGAGAAAATAATAATAACAAAAAAAAAAAAAAAAATTGACGCATTATTTTTCCATCAACACGAAAAAATTGGAAACTACTCCTTTCAACGTTACTTATATTTCATTTATTTTATCAAAACTAAAATAAATGGCAAAACTGTTAGTCGATAATGTCAGAATTTAGTGCAATTTATTTATAGTTTGAATTAATTATGGAATATATGATATTCGTAATCATTTAATATTTGAAAAATATATTAGTTAAATTTGATTTTGATTAATAGTATATTTTATTTTTTTTTCCTCCAGATTTAGTTAGTTATATTTTTTCTTCTTATTAGTAGGTATTAGTTGATATCTTGTATCCTATTCTGAATTCTTAAATTTGCCAATTCTATTTCTCTTCTAAATCTGTGTTCTTTAGTAATAATATTTTCAGATCTATTTACACTTTTTTTTAAGAATAATTAATAAAAAAAATAGAAAGTTATGAAACACGTGGACATGAGCCAACACATCATGATGTGGATCTTGAAACCCTAGAAAGAGGGAAGTCAAACTTGGAGAAGCACAAGGAAAGAACATATTTTGATGCCCTAACCAGAAGGGCAATTTAGTCAAATCAAATTTTCTCATTTTTTTTAAAAAATAAAAATTCCACATTTAGACTTTTCATCCCCAACCCACCAAAATATTCTAACATAAATAATTTAACCAAACAAATTTTTTTAAAAAAAAATAATTTTGTCATATTATTAAAAAAAAAAAAAAAAAGCGATGATCCGTTTACTTTTTGGTCGGGTTTTTGGTTTGGTTTGCGTTCCTGTAAGCCGTAATCGTCCTCTAAGGCAGGTTTTTTCTTAGCAAAACTAGAGCAACAAGGCAATAATAACAACACTGAACGGAAGAGAGTAGCGGAATTCGAGAGCAATACACAGAAGAAACAGAGCAAGAACACGAAGAACAAGAATCGATATTAAGATCTGTGAGTTTCTGCGATGGGGTGAGACAGATGCAAAAGCAGCTGAAGCTGATATCTAGTCACAGCTGCTGATCCAACACCCATATGCCAAGTTTTGTTTCTTTTCCTGTTTGATGTCCCATCTGGTAACTTCTAGCTTCTCTTCTTATTCGCCATAGGGTTTCTTTTTCTTCTTCTGGAATCGGATTTTACTTTCGAATTATGTACGTTTTTTGGTCGTCATGTTCTTGATCTGGGTGTTTCGTGGTCCGATGTTTGATTTTACCGATGACCCTGTTTGAAAATTGTTTCTGTCAGCCCACGAACTGCCATTTTCTTCCTCTTTTGTAGCTTCTGGACCTGAGTTTTGTTCATCAGGTACTTCTTTCACTGTTTCTTATATATGTTCATCTTGATTTTGAGATTCATTTCTCAGTTCTGTTATTGTTTTGGGTTCCTGAAGTTGATTATGTAGAAGAGGCCAAAGAATCGAACACTTGGACTTATTTGGCTGAAGTTATGACGACTAGTTCACGTACAAATTCTAGGCGTATGTATTCTTGGTGGTGGGATAGTCATATTAGCCCCAAAAATTCTAGATGGCTTCAAGAAAATCTTACAGGTAAGTTCTTGATCTCTTTCGGCCATTGATTTGTTCTCAATAGGCTATGGATTGAGTATTTACTTGGCTGTCCTGCTTGGAACAGATATGGATGTCAAAGTGAAACAGATGATCAAGCTTCTTGAAGAGGATGCAGATTCCTTTGCAAGGAGGGCTGAGATGTACTACAAGAAGCGCCCGGAGCTTATGAAGTTGGTTGAAGAATTCTACCGTGCATACCGTGCGTTGGCAGAAAGATACGATAATGCAACCGGGGTGCTTCGCCAGGCTCATCGGACGATGGCTGAAGTGTTTCCTAATCAGGTTCCGTTCGATGATTCGCCTGCTGGTTTGGGGAATGAGGGTGATCCACGGACACCTGAGATGCCACCAGCTATACGTGCTCTTTTTGACTCAGATGAGTTGCAAAAGGATGGCTTGGGGCTTTCACCCCAATCCAATGCTGGCAGAAGAAATGGAGCGTTTACGGAAGAATCGAACATCGTTACAGGTCGAAGGGGTTTGAAGCAGTTCAATGATATTTTTGGTTCTGGGGAAGGAAGGGCAAAGAAAGGGCTCAATTTTCAAGATTTCGAGGAGAATGAGCGAAATGGGGGGAACGATATCAAGGTTTCGGCTACTGAGGCCGAGATTTCAGCGTTAAAGGAGGCTCTGGCTAAACTAGAAGCTGAGAAGGAAGCTGGTCTACTTCAATATCAACAGAGTCTTGATAAGCTGTCTAATATTCAGTTAGAAGTCTCTCGTGCACAAGAGGACTCTACAAGACTTAATGATCGAGCCTCTAAAGCTGAAACTGAGGCTCAGAATTTGAGGGAAGCCCTCAGCAAACTAGAGAGTGAGCAGGAAGCTAGTCTGCTTAAATATCAGCAGTGCCTGGACAAAGTATCCCTTCTGGAGAGCGATATCGTTAACGTTCAAAGGGGTGCTGAAGAACTTACTGAGAGAGCAAGTAAAGCCGAGAATGAAGCTGAAGGTTTGAGGCAAGGCCTTGCTGAAGTAGGAGCTGAAAAGGAAGCTGCACTTGCTCGATATCGAGAGAGTTTAGAAAGGATAGTGAAACTAGAGGAGAAGCTTCTTCATGCAGAGGAGAGTTCCAGACGATACAACGAACAAGCCGAAAAAGCTGAAAGTGAACTGATAATCCTTAAGCAAGCAGTCGAAAAATTAACGGAAGAAATCGAAGCTGCTGCTGTTCAGTACCTGCAGTGCTTGGAGAAGATTTCTAGTCTTGAATATAGACTCTCTTGTGCTGAAGAAGAGGCTGAAAGGCTGCATGGTCAAATCAATGAAGGAGTTATAAAGTTAAGAAGTGCTGAAGAAAAGTGTCATTTATTGGAGACATCAAACTTAGCTCTGCAATCTGAGTTAGAGTCTTTGGTACTGAAAATGGGGTCTCAAAAAGAAGAACTCACCGAGAATCAAAAAGAACTGGGAAGACTATGGAATTGCATGCAGGACGAGCACTTGCGGTTCGTTGAAGCCGAGACTGCTTTCCAAACATTACAGGATATGCATTCTCGGACAGAAGAAGAATTGCGTTCGCTTGCTGCCGAGCATCAGAGCAAGACACAAATTTTAAAGAATCTGGAAATCCAAAATCAGAGTTTGGTTACAGAAGTCCAGGAGGCTAAGAATGAAAGCAGGAAACTTGATGAACTCAATATGTCTTCAGCTCTGTCAATAAAAAATCTACAAGATGAACTGTCGAGATTGAGGGAGAAGATAAGTAAACTCGAAGCAGAGGTCGAACATCGAACAAACGAAAGAAACGCCCTGCAGCAAGAAATCTACTGTCTGAAAGAAGAGATTAATGAATTGAATAAGAAAAATGTAGCCATATTGAAGCAGGTGGAATCTACTGGCTACAATGTAGACTGCTTTGGAACATCTGTGAAGGAACTGCAAGATGAACATTCAAGGATGAAGGGGATCTATGAGACAGAGAAAAGTGAGAAAACAGCTCTCTTGGAGAAGCTAATTATTCTAGAGAAACTGGTCGAGAAAAACGCCTTTTTAGAAAATTCCATTTCTGATATGAGCGTCGACTTGGAAGAAACGAAGGAGAGGGTAAAGATGTTAGAAGAATCCTATGAATCTTTATTGGGAGAGAAATCAACTCTTTCTTCTGAGAAAGTTGTTCTGACCTCTCTGCTACAAGTTACAACTAAAAATCTGGAAGAACTCTCAGAAAAAAGTACAGTTCTAGAGAATTCCCATTCAGATGCAATGGCTGAACTTGAAGCATTAAGGGTGAAATCAAAGGATCTTGAGGACTCCTGCCAATTGCTCGATCAACAGAAGTCTGAGCTCATTACAGAGAGAGAAAGCTTACTATATCAGTTGGATACCTCCCATAACACTCTTGAAGATCTGAATAAAAGATACTGTGAATCATTAGAGAAGCATTTGGTGCTTGCCAACGAAAGAGAATCTGCATTTTGTGAAATAGAAAAGCTAAAGGCTGATTTGGATGCTGAAAAACAAGTTCATTCTAGTTTTACTGAAATCAGCGAAAAACGGCTAGCTGATATGGAGTTGCAAATGCGTCGATTGCAAGAAGAATGCGATCACTGGAAGAAAGATTACGAGGGAGAAACGGAAAAGGCTATAAATTCCCAGTTTATGATCTTCGTCTTACAGAATTGCATGCAAGATATGAAGGATCATAATATCTCTTTAATTCTAGAGTCTCGAAAACTTTTCGAGGAATCAGAGAGGTCAAACGAAGCTATCTCTGAATTAGAGCGCGAAAATCTTAACGCTCAGGGGCAGATTAAATCCTTCATTGAGAAAAATAAAATCCTGAGGACAGGGCTTCAACAGGTATTGACAACTCTTGACATTCATGCATATCATGGGTTTGATAATGAGGGTGAGCAAGATCAAACGTTTCTGAAGAACATAATTAGCAAACTTGAGGAGAAACAAAGTTCCACAAAGGAAATTTATGATGAATACTATCAGTTAGTGATTGAGAAATCTATTACTGAAAAGTTACTTCTACAACTTAAAAATGAAGCTGCAAACATTTTGATGGAAAGGAATGCATTTGATCAGGAGCACAGAATCCAATCTGAGAAGATATTGATTCTCCAGAGTAGGATTCTGGAGTTGAGTGAAGAGTTGAAGTTGAATGTAATGGAGGGAAACCATAAAGAACAAGCATTCAAGACAGAAATGGAAAATGTATGCAGGAATCTGCATAATGTGCAGGAAGCTTACCAGATTTTACGAGTATCGAATTCCGAGGCTCTTGATGAGAAATCATCTTTGACAAAAGAAGTCGTCGACTTGGGAAAACAGAGGTGTCAACTGGAAGAAGAGAACAATGATATGTTCAATGAAACAATATTTCAAAGTCAACTTTTCCTCATTTGTAAGGATATTATCAATGAAATTCTTGAAGAAATGAGAAAGCTTGCTGAGTGTAGGGATGAACTTCAGGTTAGAAACAACGACCTCGACGAGAGAGTCAAGGAACTGGAGAGAAAGTTTGGATATGAAAAAACGATGAACTTAGAACTCACAATGTTCTTGGAGAAGTCGCGTAGCGAGGCTGAAAATTATTTGACCGAGAAGAACACACTTGATCAGGAGTATCAGAACCAATCGGAACGGTATTCGACACTGCAGGTTGAGATGGAGAAACTTCTAGAATTGAATGAGGAAATGAGGTTAAAAATAGTGGAGGGCAGCCATAAAGAAGAAGCGCTAACGACCGAAATGTCGAATGTATGTAAAAAGCTGCAGAATTTGGAAGGGGCTTATCAGATATTACAAACTGAGAATTGCAAGGCCACTGAGGAGGAGAAGTTCTTGACAAATGAAATCTTAGGCTTGAGGAAGGAGAAACATGAATTAGAGGACGCGAACATCGATATGTTCGGTGAAACAATATTTCGCAGTCAACTTTCTTTGATTTACAAGGATATTGTGTCTGAAAATCTTCAAGAACTGAGAAAGCTTGTTGAGTGCATGGATAAACTTCAGTCCACAAACAAAGACCTTGAAGAGAGTTTAAAAACAATGGAAGGGAAGTTGGAGGAAGAACAAACCAAGAACTCTGAGCTCATTAAGTCCTTGGCGACGTCGGAACGTGTGCTTGAGGAAATACGAACATTGCTAAGCTTGAAGGAAGATGAAAAGTTGGAGCTCCTCCGAGCGGTGGAAGAGTTGGAGGAGATGAATGAAGAACAAAAGAAGCACATGGAGTTGGAGCTTCAGATGAGAAACAATGAAGTAGAATCATGGGAGAGTCAGGCTGCAACTTTGTTTGGTGAGCTGCAGATTTCTGCTATTCATCAATCAATTTATGAAGACAAGATTCATGAGCTAACAGAAGCATGCGAGATTCTTCAAGATAGAAATTCTTCAAAAGATTTGGAGATCAAATTGCTGAAGAACAAAATTGTTAGTTCAGAAGGAGAAAATGGCAGAATGAAAACAGAGTTGGCTGCATATGCGCCGGCTATTCAAACCTTGAAGGATTCTATAAGTTCTCTTGAAAAGCATGCAATTCCTTCAACAAAACAGCAAAAAGTCTACAAACAAGAAGTGAAGGTGATATCAATATCCCTTTATCTGAATATCAATTCTTATTCTCTCTGATAGTTTTTGTTTTCTTACACTAAAATCTGCATGACATTGATACTGAGTCTTCTGAGCCAAGATTAGTTGACTTCTATCTCTACGAGTTTGGTCCAAAAGTTAAAATTCAGCCCCGATAGTTTTAAACGTTAGAATTAGACAGAGGTGCCAGTACTCGTGTATCAACAAGTTGTAGCATTTGAAGGGTCTCTGAGTTTTTTTAACCTTACTTTCTGCAGGAATCTGATTCCTTAACTTCCCAGCATCCTGAAAGCTTCCAGCAGCCAGATAGTGATCAAGTTCACCTTGATGGTTTGGTTGAGCTGCAAGGTTTGAATAGAAGGATTCAAGCAATTGAAGTAGCATTTGAAGAATATGAGGGCCAGACTACACTAGAAAAGTTTAATGCCAGTGCCAAGCTAGAGAAAGCACTGAAGGAGATTGAGGAGATAAAATCTGGCCAAGAAAGTGGCCATCTGACCAACGACAAATCAGCACTTCGAGGACAGGAGCGTTATAATCGGTCGCATTCTAAGTCTGAAATATCTGAAGCAGGAAATGAAGTTCTGACAAAAGACATCCTACTTGATCGGGTTTCTGACCGTTCATCATATGGAAACAGCCAGAGAGAAACTGCAACACCTGGTGATCGGATGCTTCAGCTGTGGGAATCAACTGATCAAGATGGCAGCTATGATTGGGCGGCTGGCAAGGCTCCTATGGTGGCAAGCTCATCTACGGAGTACCGTTGGGTTGGATCGACTAGGAGACAAAGTAGCAAGCACCCTTCAAGCGAACCATTGGTCGAGAAGGAGTTGGGTGTGGATAAACTAGAGATCTCCAAGAGGCTCTCTGATCTCCCCCATGAAGGAAACAAGAGAAGGATTCTAGAAAGACTTGATTCTGATGTTCAGAAATTGGCAAATCTTCAGATAACTGTACAAGATTTGAAGAAGAAGATGGATACTACAGAGAAGAGCAAGATAGAAAAAGGTCTTGAATATGATACAGTGAAGGAGCAAGTAGAAGAAGCTGAAGAAGCCATTACCAAATTGTATGAGATGAACCTTAAACTCACAAAGAATGTTCAAGATAGTTTTCTGGTTGCTGATGGATCATCCACACTGGAACCAGAGGAAAACGACAGTGTCCAAAGTAGGCAAATTTCAGAACAAGCACGGAAGGGATCAGAGAAGATCGGGCGATTGCAGTTGGAGTTAAAGAAGCTGCAGTTTCTAATAATGAAACTAGATGGTGAAAGGGAGGCAAGGGGCAAAAGTAAAGTACTCGAGCGGAGTCCAAGAGTTCTTCTAAGAGACTATCTATATGGCGGGACGAGAACGAAGCAGAAGCAAAAGAAGAAGACACCATTTTGTGCTTGTATGAAACCTCCAACAAAGGGTTGAATGAGAGATTGAGTTTATCTGGGAAATAGTTATATTCTAGCTTAATGAACAGGATATTAATTGGTTCATCATCATCTATCAATTTTTCTTTGTATAGAGAGGTTCTTATGTTACTTCTAGGTTTGAGATTATGCTGCACATGAAAGGCTGCATCTAATCAGAGAAAGCTGCTCTTTTTAGAGGCTCTTCATTGTTCATATTATATTGTTTCAACTCTTCAATAAATGAGTTCTTAGTTGGATCCATATGGTATACAGAGCTTTTCAATGAAGAACATTTACTTACAGAACAAACAATGGCATGGTAGCTAAAATAATCATCTTCATAATGGGAAACCTTTGAACATAATATGCATTAATTCATCAGTGTACATACAACATCAGGTCTTACCAGATCGCCGACAAGTTTCGGGGGTCCGAGCAATGTCGAAGTGTTAAGAAGAGTAGATTTTCTCTTTGTTTTGATGCCAATGGTTGGCTAAGTTCTCCCTTGAAGTGTTTCCCAATGGATCAATCTGCTTACAACAATGCTCCTGATATCCCAAATCATGATGACCAGATAAAGCAACATCTGGTTGTAACTCATCTCCATTGTCAATTATAATGTTTTGAAGTAAACAGCATACCAATATAATGCTCGGCAACTTCCGCTTGTCGGGTCTCCACATAACCTTGTTGAGGATTCTCCAGCTGCCCTTCAACTGAGAGAATGCCCTCACAGCGAGCGATTTCGCAGCTCCGTGCACAGTATTGAAGTTGAGCTTCAATGGCGATAGGTCATCGCTTTCATAAGGAGTAATTAACCAAGGAAGAAGAGGATAGCCAACTCCGCCAACTAAGTATTCTCTGATTTCTGATCCTCCAGACAACTTCCTCGCATTTCCGTTCAAACGCTCACCGACATTGCATAGTTTGAAAAACTTTGAGCACTTCAATAACCTACTAGTCGTCATGCCCCCGGGCCAACCAGTTACAATGTCAAGAAATCTCATCTGGTGATCGACGATTCCCTGCAAGAACATACTGTAATTTTTTTTGGTATCACACCAATCATCTGATGTTTGTACTGCTGGAAGGGTCATAATGATGTGTGTTGCATCTATGGCTCCACAACAATTAGGCAGCCCAAAGGAAGCTTCAAACTGTGATTTGATTTCCTCCAACCTGGAGGAACTCGGCCACCGAAGATGGTGCTTCGCACGTTGTTCCAAAGCTTCGACGAATCTCCAAGTAACCTGAGAGACGGTAGACTGACCAACTCCAAAGGCAGCTCCCACAGAAACTTGTGACTCACCAGATGCCAATCTTCTCATAGCAATGGCAACCTGCTTCTCCACACTAAGAAGCCTCCCCTCAATGTTGATAAGCCCAGATGGAGGCCTCGACACGAGATCTTCACGTACGAGGGAACAAATGTAGTCGAAAGTTCTCTTTGAAGTTCGAAAGAAGTACTTGAACACTTCTGCTTCATCGTTAGGTCCAGAAGAACCTGCACATACTTAGAAGGCTCCCTGAGATGTTAGAAAATGCCTCAATTATGAAAGTTGTACTGAAAATGAAATGAGAAACAGATCATAATATGCCAAAAATCCTTGCAACGAAATTCCCAACAATTCAGACTAACCCAGATAACATACCAATTACAGATAAAATTCTCTTACATTCTCAGAAATGATCTAAATGGCTCAAAAATCCCCAACAAAATATCTACAAAGGCTAAAAGGACGATTTCCAATTAATCCAGGCCAAAGAAACGTGAAGCATTTGAATTCAGCTCAGGCCAGAAAACCCAAGAACAAAATTGAAAAAATTTAAAGTAGAATATTGAGATTTGCGAAGGGGGCAAGAGGGGAACCTGAAGTTGAACAGTTCTTGTGCCAGAAAATCTCCCACCAATCGGGCTCTGCGGCTCTGGGTTCCATAGGAACGACGCTTAGGTTTTTACATTTCTTCAATTTCTTGGAATCCCTTTTGCGCTTCTTCGATTTCTTGGTGGGCGCCATTCTGGTTAGACAAGGAATCAATCGTTCGAGAGGAGAGGTCGGCTCTAATGTGAAAGAAGAAGAAGAATAGAAGGAGATCACGTTGATTGAGAAGACGAAGGCACGCAGTAGAGAATAAAGCTTCACATTGCACTTCCCTCCTCCCTTCACTTCCTCTATTTCTATTTCATTTTTTCATTTTTTTTTTAATAATTTAAAATTATTAAATATCAAATAGCACTTATTTTTAATATTCATAATAATCTTACAAATAAGATGAGATAGGATAAGAATAACTTGTGAACTGTCTCAATTTTTAAAATTCAACCCAACTCAAACAGGTAAAAAAATCTAATCCATCCCAACCTTTATAGTTTGGATTGGATAGTTCAAGTTGATCTCTGGTTCTTGAGTCATATGAACCCTCTCGAACGGGTTATAATTCAAAGAATACTCTCTCCATTCGTATGAGGCCTTTTGAGGAAATCCAAATCAAAGTCACGAGAGTTTATGCTCAAAGTGGACAACATCATACCATTGTGGAGAGTCGTGTTCATCTAACATGGTATTAGAGTCATGCCTCTAAACTTAGCCATGCCAATAGAATCCTCAAATATCGAACAAAAGTATTGTGAGCCTTGAAGGCATAGTAAAAAATGACTAAGACTCCAAAGGAAAAGAAGTCAAGCCTCGATTAAGGAGAGACGTACTTTGTTCAAGGGGAGGTGTTGGATGAAAGTTCGACATCGGCTAATTTAGGGAATGACCATGGGTATAATAATAAAAAAAAAATACTATCTCCATTGGGATGAGGCCTTTTGGGAAGCCAAAGCAAATCCACGAGAGCTTATCCTCAAAGTGGACAATATCTACCATTATGAAGAGTCGTGTTCGTCTAACATGAACATCCCCACAGATTCTTTCAAACTATGCATTTTGCTAAGCTTAACGAACACTAGAGTGTGTCGGTTACCACTATATGAATCTGCAGTTCTTATTTCAAGCACTAGTTTGTGAGAGTAACGCCAAATAAGGGCAAGAATCGTAATTTCTCCCATTATACTACACAAATTTAATCCCCACATCCTCAACTCTTTTGAGCCTTGTGGATGAATTTCCAACTCATGGGTCCTAAGTCTTTAATATCACATCTGGGTCGTAATCCATACTACAAAAATGGACGGTAATGGTGGATCCAACCATGAGCCAACAAGTCAAATTTTGATTTTGGGTCCGGGCTGTGCTGTGATGTCCCACGTTAGCTGGGGAGGAGAACAAACCACCATTTAGCAGACCGCTTTTAAAACCTTGAGAGGAAACCCAAAGAGGACAGTATCGACTAGCAGTGGATTTGGACCGTCATATGGGCATTATGAAGAGACCAAAGTGGCTGAGCATACTGAACTTGTTCTAACAAAACAATCCTTTTTGCAGTTTTGTTTTTCAAATGCGTTCCTTACAGACTGAAGGATGAGCATTATTTCCAGCTAAAACTTTACAGTTACTAATTCGATTAAGAAAACAGGGGATAACATTACAAGCATTTCCTCACTACCATATCATCTCTCCCTCCCCTTTTCACTACAAATCCCACATACATATATAGATATATATGATACTATCTTGACCAGTAAGTGTACTACTATCCAGAGGGGGGAAAAATTACCCCGGAGGTTAACTTCTTCAGCTTGAGACTTCACAGAGGTTGTTCCATGGTTTGCTTGCTTTCCTTGTAAGTTAAAAGATTCCATGTCTTACACACTGTTCCATGCTTCTGTTTTCTCATCAGTTTCAGGGTTTGGTTTGCAAGAGTGAAGCATATAGTTGCAGGCTGCTACAGCTTCAGCCACCGTAAGATAGATCCATTCGTGTCCCAGGCTCTCAATGAACTTCCCCTTGTCCAGCTTCTTCATCACCTCAGCTCCCGGGTTCGCCAAAACTATCTACATAGATGGGAAAACGAAAGGAACTTTGAGTCGAGACGAAGTTTGTCGTTCAAAATGTTTTGTGGACTTTATGTGTAATAGCTCAAGCCCACCGTTCGCAGATATTGTCCTCTTTGGATTTTCCCTTTCGAGCTTCCCCTCAAGGTTTTTAAAACGCAGTCTGTTAGGGAGAGGTTTCCACACCCTTATAAGAATGCTTTGTTCTCCTCCTCAACCGATGTGGAATCTCATATCATAAATTCAGTAACTATTTCAGAATTGAAAGAGGGAGAAGCCCATCGCTAGCCGATATTGTTCTCTTTGGGCTTCCCCTCAAGGATTAAAACCGCGTATGCTAGGGAGAGATTTCCACACTCTTATCTCACGTCATAACTTCAGTAACTACTTTAGAATTGAAAGAGAGAGAGCATGCAGCTGGAAAAAAAAATGGAAGTTTTGATAGTGAAATAATGTACCTTCAACCCCCTTCTGTCTAAAATCTTCTTGATCTCTTCAAACATGCTTATTCCACTCGTATCAATGTTTCCAACAGCTGAAAAGAAAAAAAGATTAATTTTGAGAGATCTGTATCACACGATAACAAACACATTTGTGCACTTCAACATTTGAAGATGAAGATCCAATAATTACCACTCATGTCTAATACGACATATTGTAAGGTACTATCTCCTGAAGCCTTTATCCTGTCTTCCTCTTCATCAACCCACCTTATAATCCTAAAACATAGTAGTTTAATGAATCACTCAGTACTTAAGAAGTTAACATTGCAATGTTTGTCAATGACATGCGCCAATGTGATAGATAGGTGGGATACCTTTCTCTCAAGTAGCTGGAATTAGCAAAGTAAATGGGAGCGTCGATCTCGAGTATGAGAATGCCGGGAACATTCCCAGCATTCGGGTATTGCTCGACATTCCTGTAAACAGTGGAATTAGGAAGGTTTCCGAGCACAAGCGTCCTCGGCCTTGCGACGAACAAAAGTAGTCTGAGCAGCGATATAGCCACCTGCAACAAGTGGTCCCCAATGTTGTCAATAGTCATAACAAATGTAGCTAAAAGTGAGTAGTAATGGGTTGTTGTAGGACACTAAAAATGACATAACATAGAAGGAAATTCAGCTAGGCATTTTCACAAACACCTTACGAGCACACCCAAAAACTAGAACATACCGCAATGACCAAGCCAATTTCAACACTGGCAAAGACGACACCAGCATAAGCACCAATACAGACAAGGAAATCGAACTTATCGACTTTCCACAAGTGAATAGCGGCGTCGTAATCGATGAGACCAAGCATGGCGGAAATGATAATGGAAGAAAGCACGACCAGAGGCGTGTAATGAAACAGAGGAGTCAAAAACAGCAGCGTCAACATCACAGCAATGGCCATTACCACGTTGGAAACCGCGGTTTTGCATCCTGCATTGAAATTCACGGCCGATCGGGAAAACGGGCCTGGAAATATAGGGATTTGTTAGAAATGGAAGCAGAAATGATTAAGAACAGAGGGAAGGGGTTTGTCTTTTGTTATACCAGTGGTGAGATAGCAAGAGAAGCAAGAGCCGACCATGTTCATGGTGCCAATGGCTACCATTTCCTTGTTGCCATCGATGTTGTAATGCTTGAACATCGCAAAGCTTCTTCCAACTGCTATTCCTTCCTGCTCATCATCACCAAACATCATTTCAATTACAATATCATATCACCCAGAGAGTTGTTTAATCGTAGTATCAGAATCATGCCCTAACTTTAGTTGTGCCAATAGATGGGTAAATCCTCAAATGTTGAACGAAGGACTCCAGAAAAAAAATGAGTTGAGCCTCCTCGAAGGCAGTAAAAAATGACTAAGACTCCAAAGAAGTCAGCCTCAATTAAGAAGAGACATACTTTATTGGAGGAGAGGTGTTGGATGATGAAAGTCTCACATGCTCAGGTAGGAAATGATCATGAGTTTATAAACAAAAGAATACTTTTTCCATTGGTACAAGAGCTTATGGGGGAGTCCAGAGCAAAGCCATAAGAGCTTATCCAAAGTGGACAATATCATACCAATTATTTAATTATTTTAAAATTAAATGATGAAATAGTTACCGCTAGAGCAATGACACCCGTGATGATGCCAGTTTTAATAGCGATGGAAAGATGAGGCGACACCATCACTAAATCGGTAATCGACACTGGATTTAGCCCTTTCTTCAATTCACCGATCTGTCAAATAATAATAATAATAATAAAATTATTTTATTTTTTTGAAAAATAAAAATAAAAATATTATTAGCTGAAAGAATATAAGACAGTATCTTTTGTACAGACAGTTTTTCTAAAATACGCACATTGAATCCTAAACTAAAATACACTTTAGATTCTTAATATTTATTTCTTTATAAATTAAAAAAAAAAAAGGTCCAATCAAACAAAAAAGAAAATGGGTCCAAACCAATGAAACAGATTCTATTATTAGTGGGACCCACTTCCCTTTCCTTTTTCAAGTGGACAAAAACAAAATAATAAACACAATTATTCATAATTATCCCTTCCAAAATTACCCGTAAATTATATTTATTTATGACATCATAATTTTAATTTTTTTTTTAAAATATAGGACTAAAGTATAAATTCTATTCATAATTTGTAGTAAGTCGAGTCTCAATTTTCTTATTTCTATCATGTCTGTCTCTGAGCGTACAACGATCCAAAACAATGTCGAAAATTTTATAAAGCTTACCACTTCAACGCCGTGTTTTTCCGCATGAGTGAGAAACACTAGAAGACTTCCCAAAATTACCGACGTCAAAGGTGCCATTGCTGATATCCAAAAGAACTTCGGCTTTTTCTTGCTCTGCAACCGTACCATAATAAAACAAAATCAATTTTTTTTATTTAAAAAAAATTATTAATAAATTTGCATAAAATAAAATAAAATAAGATAATGGAAGTTGGTTCTTTATTATTCTTATCTATCTAAAAAATATATAAATAAAAAAGCAAATTAGAAATTACAAAAATAATAATTGTAATAATGAAATGATTCCTAACTACTTCCACCAACCTTATATTCTTAAATTCTTTATTTTTAAAAGCAAAACGCATAAATATAAGATTAAAAATAAATTTTAATTAATTAAGGTGGCGGGTAAGATGTGACACGTCATCTAATTAATTAGTTAATTGGAAT